ATACGCCACTGCTGGCAATAATTATGAACTGCCAATTCAGGAGATTGTTGTACCTCAAAGTTGCATCCGTCATGCATGACAAAGCACTGCCTTAGATGGATCTCCAGAAATTGTCCAGCAAAAAGACCTGCTGTATTCATAGGAAAAGGGGATCGAAGGCGGTCTCCTCATAATGAGGTATGCTAGGATTTTTTTGAGTTTGTTTTTTTCAAAGCTATTTCAGGCGAAATGTGGCACGGCAGAGAGAGGCTATCAGCCATGCACAAGCAAGTTGATAGCAAACAAATTATTCAAATCATGCTGTGATTTGTACGTGCCAGAGGAGTGCCATTTCATGTGTACGTATGAGATCGACCAAAGCAAAACCAGGAATATGGTATTTTTTTGCTTTGCTAGCGGGTTACGAGGCATTCTATCCTTGAAATGAATTTGGGAATATTCTAACAATAGCTTAGGAAATCTGTTTTGCTAGTCTCTGAAGGAGAAAAAAATAATAAACACGAGCAAACGTACGTAGTCTTTTGATCGTTATTTACCGATACGCGTAGCATCTGCTATGCGGCGCAAGCGTTTGGATCAGTTGGGATGACGCGTCTCCGCTTCGCAGCAACCTGCGCTACACCGCCGACAGAAATAGGCATATCGTCTCAAAATCATGTCTGCGTTTAGCACTTCTCTAATCTCTAGTTTGCTGTTGTACGTCGATTCCAAGTAGAATTTTTGCAATATGTTGCAGCCATTATTCAAAGTTACCTGAAACTGAATAATGAGGAAATGGTTTGTACCAGATATAAGTCTTTTGTTGTGATTTTGCAGCTCAAAGAATCCCTAACCACATATATAAAACACGGTTCCAAATAGTAAGACCGCTTATTTTCAGCTGCTCGAGCTTGTCAAGCAGAAACGATGCAGCATGCGGTATCTATCAGCAATATTATATTGTGCAAGTCAGAACAGAGACAACAGGAAATGCTGTGCAGATTTGGATCTTAACGCTACACAATTGCAGGTATACTATGCATTATGACGACTTTTCATTTTTCATTTTTCATTTTTCTTTCGATTTCATTCTCAACAAATCGTGATCAATATCTCCCATAAGTAGAAAATGCGCTTCTTAGTGATGCTTAAAGAGTAGAAGTTGATAAATGCCAATCATATTTTTCTAGACGGTTATTTACATTCAAGAGATCTGTTTCTTGAGCTCAACTTTTTAATCAGAGGAAACTCTTGGCAAACAGATATCCAAGCTTTGAACCATTTTGTAGAGCTGGCTTCCAACTTAGATCAGTATGCTTCGGATCAAAAATCCCTCTTTATTCCTATAGATAGGGTTATTCCTATATAGTTACGGTAGGAACCTTGGGAAGGCTTCTGAGTAAATAAATCATTTTTCGTCCCCAAAATGGAACCAAGGAAGCTGAAAGCTTTTACTCTAGATTAATCAGAGTCGCTGTTTCTAAACATGGAAATCGCACTTCACCGTAAGGCATTTTTCGTAAGTTATGCCAGAACCACAACATTCAATTTCTGCTATTCGTAAAAAATCTGATTAGGCCATTTGGAAGGCTCTTCGAAAGCGCAAAAGTTCGTCTGAAATCAGCATGCATAAAGACCTTGTTAAACAATTTTTCAGATTTTTTTGGAGATTTTCCTCCAAACGGCCTTTTCACAGTGGTGCCATATGCTCCGACAGTAATGTAACTAAATTCTTAATTCGCTCCAAATCTAAGTTGAAACCGGCTTTACAAAACGGTATCTAAAGCTTCTCGAAAGACTTCA